CGCGCACCGGATCGGGGCGCGGCAGACCCGCCGCCCCGACCCAGGCTGTGGGGTCTGGGGTGGAGGGGCCGGTCAGATGAGGGGGGGTCCCGGGCGCGCCGGCGCCGCGCGGGACCTGGGGAGGCGCACGGCTCGCTTACCTGGTAAGTAATACAGAGGCGGCTTCAATCCAAACATGGTTCAAATTAGAATTCCATAGTGGCCAGAGAGGGATGAAGGAGGAAAAACATATATTAAAACCCAGCAGGGAGACAAAAAGCACCGTCCAAGCCACGGCGCTCAAAAATGTCCAAAACAATAAAATAAAGGCAGAAGAGCGATCCCGAGAGCGACGGAAAAAAATTTTTAAATCAGCCTTTTTCTTTTCTTTTCTTTCTTTCTTTCTTTTTTTTTTTATTTTTATTTTTTTTTTTTGCCTCCAAGATGATCAAAAGGCTCTCTCTCCGGCCAACCCCGGGCAGTTTCGGCCACCTTGGCCCTGGCAGATCCACAATGAGGTAATTGACGACCAAGGACGGGCTGGAGCCTCCACGGCTGCCCGGGTGTCTTCGCCGCGTGTGTATTTTCTGCCTTTTGGACTTGAGATGCAAATAAAAAAAGGAGGGGGGAGCTGGTGGAGGGAAGCAGGCGGGAGAGCGAAGAGGAGCGAGAGAAAAATAAAGGGGGGAGGTGAGGGTGATGAAATTGGGGGGTTAAGATCGTCAGGGATTACTCATTTGAAAGGAGAGAGAGAGAGACAGAGAGAGAAAAGCAGCCCCCAAGACGTGCGAGGAGCACTCTCCTCCATTCAGCCATTTGAATGTCAAGGGCGAGGGTCAAGAGACCTGTTTCCAACAGGGTTTCACGTTCAGAACCAGAAGGAAAAAGGAAGGGGGGGCGGCGGGAGGGGGTATCTCTGGTTGCCAAGGAGAAATCGGCTTTGTTTTCGTTTCCCCTTAGCTACTGGGTGAGGAGGGGCGGGGTGGGGGAAGAGGAGGAGGGGGCGAGCGGGAGAGGGGAAAGGGGAAAATTAATACCCAAACAGCCAAGAAGTACCGAGGGGGAGATTTCTTCTCGTAAATAAAAGAGGCAGCGATTGCAAACAAGTCTCGGCCGGGAGGGAGAAAGCAGGCCCAGGAGTCGGCTCCCCTCCCCCTCTCGCCACCGACACCCCTCCCCCCCCCTTTTTGGGTTATCTCCCTGGCCCGACGTCCCACCACCGACTCAGAGAGAGGGGGTGGGGGGAGGAGAAAGAACTCGCGGGGGCTCGGGCGCCCGGGCAGAAGGAGAAGCTGGGAGGCGAGAGCGCACGGCGGTGGAGAGCCCCTCGATCAATTTTCATGCAAGAATCATTATCGGTAAATTGGAAAGCTGGCTGTCTGACAGCAGATTTGTCTCCCCTAATGAAAGCGAAAGGGTAGGGGCGCAGCGGCGGACGGCTGGAGGCGGCGGCTCCTTCCGTCTCTACGCGGCATCTTCCAAGAGCTCCATGCTTCGAAGGGCGATAATAATAGTTTCACTTGCGAGCTTTCCCCCGCGCGGCCGCCCAGCCGGGCAGCAGATCCATGCGGACCGGGAGCAAGGCGCGGAGAGCCGGGCTCCCCTCTCCAAACCCGGGGAGGGTGCTGCTGCTGGCGGCGAGGCGCTCCCCTCTGCCCCAAAGCGGGGGCCGTTTGCAAACAGTGGGCGGCTGCGAGCGCCGCCGGTCCCCCTCCAGCTGCCCAACTCCGCGCTCTGGCTGCCCGCCCGCCTTCCCTCCTTCCCTCCCCACCCACGTCTGACAGCTGCGGGAGCCGGGAGTTCACCCTCCACCCGGACCGGGAGGAGAATCCCCAAACCGTGTCCCGGGGGCTCTGGGCCGCCTTTTGTGAAACCCACACCCGGCTGCGGAAACGCACACGCCGGCCGGCCCGTGTGAGCTCCTAGGGCGAGCAGTTTGCCTCTCTCCTTTCTTTTCCCCTCACCCTTGAACCCCGCACCCCACCCCTTTAAAAATCCCTGTTGCAAGTGTAATCAAATGCTTGATACCATCTTCCACAATCTCCCTGCACTGGTGCATTATCAGATCCGGGAAGGCATGCTTCCAGGCAAATAGACCTAATAAATGCTATTACTGGGATTCTGCAAGCCCCGGCTGCACCATAGTAACGAGAGTCCCGGCTAATTTGGTTTAAGAAAACGATCAACTGCACAGAGTATGTGTGAGCGAGTGTGGAGTCTGTATCTCTCCTCCCCACGCCGCCTCTCTTTCACACCAGCTCAAGAAGGCCCCATGTGATAATTCCCCAAATCGAAGGGGAAAAAACCCTGCCGCCAAACCACATCCTGTGCGCTCATTGTCCAGCCCAGCGATTTTAAAGAGACAGGATCCATTTACCCCCCCCACACACACACATACCCGTAAACGCACGCTGCAAAGCTGCCTCTTGATGTGACAATTTATTTTTGAGACCTTTTACCTCCTGAAGAACCCCTCGGTGGCACAACCAGCCAGAATCGCGACTTGGTAACACTAAGGGGGTCACCTTTTGACCCCAGATACAACCAGGGTTTGAGAAGCAGATCTGAGCCCGCAGGTACACTCGGCGAGGCACCGCGGTCACGGCAGCCTTGGGTTCCTGCCAACGCTTTCCAACCACTGCGTAAATCAGGGGTCTCCAGCGGCAGCCCCGGGGTCCCTGCTAAACTCGGCGGCTTCAGATGACAGTTGAACTCCCGGAATATGATACCCTAGAGAAAAGCTCTTGAGGGCAAATTGGAGGAGGTGAGGGGATCCGGCGTGCTTTCTGACCTATCCGTGCCATTCACCAACCCCTGGCCCACCCCGCAAGGAAAATCTTAAATGGGCTGGGCGGAGCGCTCGGAGCCGAGGGAGGGGTGGCGCTCCTCCCCGCCGCCGCCGGCTAGGCGGGTGCAGCGCGCAGGCAGCTGCCTTCTAGGAGGGCCGGGCTGCCGGGGGCGGAGCGGGGTGGGAGAAGCATCTCGTAGCCCCCCTAGCCCCCCG